CATGAATATGGCCTGGGGTGTTGAACCCACAATCATGTGCTTTTGGGACTGCCTCACTTAGTGTTCATCATCATCATGATTGTGCGTTCATTCGAAGACCTTAGCGAACGCACGAAGCCACGAGAAGATCAAAGAAACCAAGAGATGCGCGAGCACGCCACCAACATGCGCGGGCGCGCCACCTCTGCAGCACAGGCGCGCCTCCCCTGCAGCGAGGGCGCACCTTCTTGGGTATTTGTTTGCTCGGTTTTGTTTTCGCGCCTCTATAAATACCTTTGTAAACCTGAATTTTGGGGCAAGTTTCGAATAAGTTTAATTTTAGATTTTGATCATAATTTTAGCTTAGTTGAGAGCTTCTCTCTCTAGTTTTAGGGTTAGTTTAGGAGTAGATTTTAGAGAGAGAAAGTGAGGAATTTCAATGGTGATTGAGATATTGAAAATTCAATGGTGACAATTATGTTGGAGATCTTCTCTATTATCAATGAGCATTCTTAACTCTATCTGATTTTATTGCTTTGTTTGATTTCATATTTGTTGGTTTGATTTTGATGTTTGATTGTTGATTAGTGTAGTCGTTCTTCATATATTGTTGATTCTTGATTTCTTTAGTTGTTAGTTGATTAGATGATGATGTTAGAGTAGCTGTTTGCTAGGAATTGGGTGAAACTTGTATGATTGATTGATTGTGCTTAATTTGGGGATTGTATTAATTAATTGTTGAGATTAAAGTGATTAATGTAAGTTTGCATGTGTGTAATTCGATTAGGCCTTGATAATTATGCTAGATTGCATTGTGAGTCTTGATACGGACCATTGATTTGTAGCTTGCAATTGTCGATTGAGCTTGATTAGTGATGTTCCTAGTTAGAGTCTCTCGTAGTTGGCGCTAGTTTGACCTCTAGGAGATAGCTTGTTTACTAATTTGATTGAGCTTGCCATTAGTCTTCACAACCATTGACTTGCAGCATGTATTTCCGAGTTGCTACAATTGTCATGATTACTTGTTGATCCCCTTCCTAGTGCTTTATTTGTTTAATTTCTTTGTTTGTTAGTTGTAAGTGTTCTCCTTCTATCTTTGTTTTTGACCTAGCTTAGGCGCATAATTGCGAGTGCTTGAACATTACCGTTCTTTTGGGTTCAACCCTTGACTTGCCTCTATACTAGTATATAGGTTTGTTAAGTGTTTATAAATTTAGTTTGACCGAGGGAGGATTGGTTTCAACAACCTAGTTCCACCCCTCGTCAGGAACTAAGCAAGTCATGAGACCTCAACAATCTAGAAGTATCTACAAATTATACAGCTGACAAGACAAAACAAATTCAACAAGGTAGCACAAACTACAAAGAGTACATAACGTAGTAAGGCAATTAACACACAAACAAGACAACCACATTTCACCAAATACACACAAATAAAAAAGAAAAACAAGAAACCTTGAGACATGGCAAGGGCAACTTCTTTATCAGAATCAAATCATCCAAATACTCAATATGCACAATTGATTCTGGTTGTGTTAACTTAATGGTCGACCTCTCGTCTGCACTTAACTCATACAACTGAGCAATCAAAGATTGTAACTGGACGTGCTGCTTCAACTTGCTAACTACAAAAACCACGCAGATTAGCCCAAATCAACAAAGAAGGAAAGCAACATAGAAACAAAAATTAAAAATACCTTCGGCCTCAATAAATTCAATCAAGAAGTCAATGTCTTCACCCAAGGAATCAATTCTTACAAAGAAAAACTATGATACCACTTCTTATCAAAGGCCTTCTCCAAATCCGTCACCAAAGGATCAACACCCTTCTTCAAACGAAGACCAAATCGACCTTTGCTACTAGTCCTAATAGTATAAGGATAGCAATGATCCCTTACATCCAAAGAAATACCCAATTTTGTACTTAACAGATCAAGAATTCGAAAAATTCTCTAGGGGCAAAAATTGGCAAGGCGAAACCCTAACCTTAGAAAGAAATTGGCGAACAAGAAAAGAAAAGGGAAAAGTGTGCCCAATCACGAAAGGATAGTCAAAGAAACACACCCAACTAGGGGAAGTCCAATCTGCCCTCTCCCTAGAAGAATGGATCCTCACCGCCACCCCATCAGGAAAACACGCAGTAGTAGCAATTTTCCTAACATTGTCCTTCGTCAGATGAGAAGAATAAACATCCTTAGCATGAAAAATATTATGTGCAACAAAAATTGGTTTCTTCACGCCTTCCTCAACCCTAGAAAACACCACTTTCACCGACTCACTCATCATAGAAAACGTGAAGAAAATAGAAGAAAGCAAAACATAGAAAATAGAGAAGAAAGAGAAAATACCTGCGAGGGAAGTTCAAAATTGGGGCAAAGAGTGAAGTGATTTGATGGAAGCCTGCACACCCAATAAATACAACAGAGAAATAAACTGCCCTGCAAAGTTATCGAAACACTTGCCTTAAAACCAACACCCCACTTCCTTATTTTTGTTACCTGTTGTAAAATAACTTCCAAAAATTTCAAAATACTTCTAACGACAGTTTTGGTAATTTTCATCTTCAATACTTGAACATTAAAATTAGGGGCAATTTTAGGGCCTGTTTTACTAAGCAATCCATTAACTGTAACGCACAACCAAGCATTCAAGAAACATCAAGAATCAAGCAAATGACTTGATTGATACAAGTATAACAAGAGAATCAAAAGATTAATTACGCGATTACATGCCAAAAATACACCTGCTGAGCAAGGAAAGAAGAATGAAAGCAAGAAGATCTTCCCCCGTTTGAATATATTTTGATATCTTTGTAACCCTAACTTCTCCTAGGTATAGATAGAAAAATTAGACATTGTAATACTCTCATACGCTCACTAATACATTAATACAAGTAATATATCTCATAAGTTCTCTCGGAATTGTGTCCCTTCTATTCAAGAAGTCCGTCCTTACTCAGTATTGTATCTTTAAACTCTTTCTTTTATATTAATATCGTTTGTTTATTGATTTACTATTGTTCTTGGTCATTGTGTTTAATGATAAAGGTTTGATTGTTATTACCCTTTAATCCCTAAGCAAATTCCTAGATCATCCCAACTAAGATTTGCCTTAACATGTTTTTCAAATCAAATGTCGCTAGATAAGGTTGTACATTAATATGTAAGATTGATTAAATTTTGATTTGATTTAATCTAATTTTCAAATTTGACCAATTTATAATCTAATTTTTACATTAATCTTTAAGATTGATGAAATTATTAGCAAATTAAATATATACTTTTTATATAAAAAAATTAATAATTTTTAAATTACGAAATTAAAGATATGAGGGAGCCCCAATTCATCTTCATGATGAACAAAAAACGTTTATCTAGTGGCAATTCCGTAAATAAATCAATATAAAATCCTAGTCATCATGGTGTTTCTGTAAATAAATCAACATTACTAGGGTTCTCATTTGACAAAAGTTTTTAATTTTTTTACAAAAATGGCACTAGATAAACGTTTTTCTATTTATCATGAAGATTAACTTGTATTTTCTCTACAGATATTTAACAATAAATAAACATAATTTATAAGATAAGACTGATCTGATTATTTTTTTTACAAGTTGATACCAACTTAAATAACTTGAGCTGAACATTTTCTGTTACAGTTTTACATGTTGATTTTATATAAGCTAAGATATACTAATTAGAGTATATATATTTCGTAATATAACAAAAACGTTGTTGCTGTTTTTCACAAAAAAAAAAAAAAAATAAAAAAAAAAAAAAAAAAACGTTGTTGTTGTTAAGATACAAAGAATTTTATTTCGCTTCATCATTCTAACAAAAGAGTTTCTTCTGTTTTAACGAAAAAAAGAAGAAGCTAAGTTAACACTGTTCTTTTAAGCTGATCAAATCGCATTGAACCTAATTAATATAAATTGAATTAATAGTAATTATTATACTTCTTCACTTCCTTTTTAATTGATACGTTTTTTAGTCATGTTTGCCAATGCACAATTTCAATCATTAATATCTTTAATTAGCGATAAGCAAAAATTATAAAAAGTTGATATTTTAAAAATATACATTGTGAGTATATTTTTCTTCACATATGAAGCACAAAATATAGTCAAAGGGAGATGTGTGAATAGTGCTAAAGTCAAAACGTGTCAAATAATAAAAAACAGAGGTACTAGTAGATAAAGTAAAATGACCTAAAAATAAGTCTAGAAGAATATCCGCAGTCATACTTCATAGCTTCATGTATATGTAAAATATTAAATGATTTTTATTGCATACCCTTACTTTTGCTAAAGTGAAATTATTTTTGCTAAGTTTAAGAAAGTAAAACCTTAAACCTAGTTTTAGAATATTATTTGAAATATGGTGAAGGGAATAAGCCCTTAATTGTAATATAAACTAAAAAAAGTTAAATTAATTTAACTTGTTCAGTGCGTTTTTTTGTGTTATTGGCCACACCATGTGATCGACGGATACACATCAAAACAATAATAACCGAGTAATCCCGACCACATGTGAACAACCACATATGAAAACTTAAGTTTGTTATAACTATTTTTTTATTACCATTAATTTCAATTAGGTTGTTTTCTTTTTGGGTCAAATTTCAAGCAGAAAAACTTGTGTATGTGAACCTAATTCACAATAATATTATTGTGAGCCCGAATTTCTTCACGTGCGCAATTGGCTTTTTATTAAACATAGTGACCCTATATTAAATTTAGTAACACTAGTAGAAACAAGATGATTGCCACCGGTTCAAAACCCCTAACTGCCACCGGTTTTGAACCGTTAGGCCATTTGGGGGGTGGCAATACTTGTATAAAAAGCCACCGGTTCAAAATCGGTGGCAATAACACACATTGCCATCGGTTAACCGGTGGCAATAATAGGCACCCACTTTTAAAAAAAATAAATTCAGTTAACTGGTGCCAAAAGTGTCCAAATTTTTTTTTTCTATTTTCACTTAAAAATGTCAGACAACGATATTAAAAAACAGCAACAATATATTCATCAACGATATATTCATCAAAAAAATGCCAATAATATGCTTTTTCACTTAAAAAATGTGAGACAACGATATATTCATCAAATGAATTATTACAGTATTTTACAATTTAAAAAAAAAAAACTGCAAAATCGAATTTCCAAAATCAACATCTTGAATCCTTTTGCTATATGAACCTGCATCCAATTTGGACACCAAAATTAATAAAAACCCACAATAAATTAAATTTTTTAAAAAAATCAATTAAACGGTTAAACCCAACAGTTCAAAAATCAATTACACCCAGAAGATTCCAAAAAAAAAAAAAACCCAGAAATCAGTCCGAAATTAATTAAAAAACAATCCGAAATACAATAATATCTACTAGAAAATCAAGTAAAATAGAACAATCAATTAAACAAAAAAAAAAAAAAAAAAAAAACCCAAATAATCGGCTAAAAAAACTAAAAAATTCAGAAAAATTCAAAATCAATTAAACCAAGAAAAATCGGCTTAAAACCCCCAAAAAAAAATCAAGGCATTTAACATGAATAATTAAACCCAGAAACCATAACCTCATATAATTAAACCCAGAAACTCGATTTTTTTTTTTATTAAAAAAGACACATACCTTCATTATTCGACCATACAAAACCATGAAGGTGCGAAAAATGGTTAGTCTTCGTGGTGGTGGTTAGTGGCGTTGACGGTGGTGGGCTATGAGGGGAAAGAGAAGTAGATCGAGGGAGAGAAGGGACGAGCTTGAAGTGCAATGTAGGGGCCTATGAGGAGGGCTTAGGAAGGAGATGAGAAGGAGTAGATCAAACGAAGAGATCAGGAGAATGAAGGAGGCAGGAGAGGCGAGCTGAGAGGCGAGCTGAGAGGAGAGAGAAAGAGGCAGGAGAGTAAGGGGAGATAGGAGAGGCTTGCTTAGGGTTTATAAAAGAGCGATTTTTTTTAACATTGCCACCGGTTCAAAACTAGTGGGATTAATATTTTCCCCACCGGTTCAGTTTGAACCGGTGGCTTTATCATTTCACTTAAATCCCGCCCATTTTTTCCCCAAAAACCGGTGAGCATAGCTTGGTACCTTTTTGTAATTTTCTACTAGTGTAACTTTAATTTTAACATAATAACCTTCAATAAAATTTGTGTGATTTTTAATATTGTTTCATACCTGAAGTATGACGTTATGATCCTAATTTTAACCTAGTACCTATATTATTCATATTGACCACTATTTTAAAATTTTTATTAAAAAAAATAATCTCTTATGATCTTTATAAAAACACAATTACTTTTATTTTAACATAATAACCATTATTTTAACATAGTGACCTTTTTTTTATTAATAAAATGAGTTAAATGACCATAGTTCGTAATTATACTATTAGTGGTCTACAATATATTAATGTGAACCAGGTCTATTTAAGAGTTTGTAAATTTCAAGTAGTTAAATCCGTATATATTTGATATTTATTGACTTTGAAACTTTGAAGTCATCTTATTTATTTTGTGTAACATTTCACAATGAAAGATTCTTTCATGTTGTGTAACGTTACAAGATAATGGGTGGCTATCACAATTGTGCGACGTTATGCTCCATAGTAAGCTTCTAAGGATGCATCTAGGCGTATAGGGCCTATGTATTTGGCATGTGCATAGGAGGGTAATATGGGGTTCGGTGGTACATTTTCTCTCTTGTTTTGGTACAGTGGTACATTTTTGTGTACTACTATACATGTATAATGTATCATTAAAATATAAGCTATTTTAATAGTACTTTTTATGTACCATTATGCATGTAGTGACACTTTTTGTCCTCATATTTTCCACCCTCATATTCCCATTATTTACAAAAATGACATCCTATTTGCATCCTTAATACATAGGGCCTATGCGTCAAGAGTTGCACTCTATGATTCAAAAGTCTACGATTATAACCTTTTTTTTTTAGCAAATCTATGAATAAAGTGTTAGGTGTTACTCCGTATCTGACTTGATAAGATCATAAGAGACTTATCCTCGATTTCTTTTAGGAAAAATGGAAACTAATAATTCGAGTTCGTTTGGCATTGCTGTGGTTTTCTGTTTTTTGGTTTTTTGTTTTCTAAAAGTATATGATATGAGTCCCATAATGAATCAAAAATTATATAAACTTATTAAAATTATAATAATTTTGAAAACTGATAATAGAAAAGTAGAAACACCTTTTTCTTATTTCCTGTTTTTGGTTTTTAGTTTTCAAAAAAACAGGAAACTCAAAACCAAATCTAATGCCAAACAAGCCCGGACATCTTTGGGTTTTCTGCTCATTTCAAAATCCCAAAACAATCCCACTTTTGACCCTCATCTGATCAAAATGAGCCTTTTAACCTATAACCTGTTTAACATGTTAAATTATTTTTGTTTTTTACATTTTCATTTTTATTTTTATTTTTTTTCAATATCCCATCTCCACCTTAGCACACCACCATAACCACAACTGCCCTTCGATAAGCACCACCACATCACCACCTTAACTCCACCCACCACCCTTCATTCTCTCTCCTAACCTCGATCCCCCACCCTGTTCTTCCGTACAGTTTACCAGTAGCCCACCACCCCTGGCCTTCTCCAAACCCGCACACAATCCCACCCGCAAAAACACACGTCCAGCCAACGACAACCATATATAACTCCACCCATCCAACCTGCACTTCAACTGTCGCATTAAGCAAGTGGTTCAACTACTGCACTGCACTGTAACCATCACCACCGACAAAGAAGCCGCATTAAGCAAGCTACTGCTGCAACTCTATCGATCAGACCATCATTCTATCAAATCACACAAAATCGTATTAATCATACAATTCTTCAAATGATCCAATTAATAAAAATTTTAAGTTGATGAGATAATTTGTAATAATCGAGGGTAAAAACTCCAAAATTAATACTATAAGTCTTTCTTTTGCTTTTCTTTTATTTCCAATTTTCCATGATTGGGCTGATTGCCCATGTTTTAGGAGGAATTTTGGGATTGTTTGTGAAGGAATTCTAATCCGTCCGTATTCCTTTGCATTACTGTCAAAATATATAATGTACAAGGGTTGAAGGTAAGCCACCAATTAATGCTATAAACTAGGGATTAGCTATATACGAAATATACTAGGCACTAATCTAGGAAACAATATATTTCCATGGTCAAAGATATATAAGATAATTATATATCTTAACACACCCCCTTAGTCAAAAGCGGGAGGAGGAGGACGAACACTTAGACTATCTCTGAAATCTTCAAATAATACCCGGAGTAGTCCTTTTGTAAAAATGTCCGCAATTTGGTGCCTAGACGGAACATGGAGGACTCGCACTTCACCTCTAGCCACCTTTTCACGTACGAAAAGGATGTCCATCTCAATATGCTTGGTACGCTGATAATGCACTGGATTACGCGAAAGATAAATAGCACTCACATTGTCACAATAAACCAAGGTTGCCTTTTTAATCGGGCAATGTAACTCCAACAACAAATTACGAAGCTAACATGACTCTGAAACCACATTGGCCACACCTCTGTACTCTGCTTCACAACTAGACTTTGAGAGAGTAGCCTGTCGTTTAGATGACCAAGATATCAAATTGTCACCCAAAAACACACAATATCCAGATGTGGAACGTCTTGTATCAGGATACCCACCCCAATCAGCATCTGTATATGATACAAGTGTAGAAATAGAAGATGGATAAAGATGCAAACCATGGTCAATAGTACCCTGTACATACCGAATTATGCGTTTGAGATCAGCCATATGAGTGTCTTTCGGATCATACGTATGCAAGCATACCTGTTGCACAGCATAAGAAATATCCGGCCTTGTAAAAGTAAGATATTGTAGCGCCTCAGCAAGGCTACGATATAAGGAGGGATCTGCAAAAGGGGAACCCGAAGCACTGATTTTCGGCTTTGCCTTAACAGGAGTGGCCGAAGATTTTCACGAACTCATCCCGGCCCTGTCAATAATCTCCTCAGCATACTTGCGTTGTGACAAAAATAATCCACCCTTATGCCTTGTCACAGCAATGCCAAGAAAATAATTTAGAAGACCCAAATCCTTCATAGCAAATTCCTTGCTAAGAAGAGCAATAATAGAACGCCTTAGAACATTAGACGAAGCTGTAAGAATAATGTCATCAACATATAGCAATAAATAAGCCACATTCGAGCCATCACGGTAAATAAAGAGAGAATTGTCACTCTTGCTATTAGTAAAACCAATAGAAGTAACAAAATCAGCAAATCGCTTATACCAAGCCCTGGGTGCCTGTTTAAGACCATATAATGATTTCCGCAGCAATCATACATAATCAGGATGAACCTTATCACGGAAACCAAGAGGTTGATGCATATAGACCGTCTCATTAAGCTCACCATGCAAAAAAGCATTCTTAACATCAAGCTGATGAATTTTCCAAGCTTTAGACAAAGCCAGGCTAAGAACAGTACGGATGGTAGGCGATTTGACCACCGGACTAAAAGTCTCCCCACAATCAACGCCAACCTGTTGTGTTTTGCCATCACCTACAAGACGGGCTTTATGCCTCTCAAAAGAACCGTCAGATTTCACCTTATGAGTAAAAATCCACATAGAACGAATAACATTAATATCAGGCGGACGGGGCACCAACTCCCACGTCTTATTTTTAATAAGAGCATTAAATTCATCATCCATAGCCAATTTCCAATTCGGGTCACGTAAAGCAGAAATGGGGTTACGAGGGAGAGGGGACTTTGTTACACTAGAAACCATAGCATTGAAATTTTTATATTTCGGGTTTGGTTTTACAATACCATTTTCGCTACGTGTGACAATAGAAGGAGGTGGAGTGGGATGTGGAAGCTGAAATTGTGGACTAGGAGCAGAAGTGGTAGATTGGGTCGCTGGTTGGGTAGGATGCAAGTGGGCCGTGGCTAAGTGAACAGGCCCACAGTCCACGTGCACCCTATTCTGCCCAACAGCGCTGCTAGGAAGAATATGAGAGGAGGCCGTGGGTGAAGGGAGAACTGGGCTTGATGGCAGTGGCCCAGGTGAAAGAGGTGAGGAAGGTGGGGAAAGAGCTGTGCCAGAAGTGACTATCGGCCCAGTCTGCTGTGTGGGAGGCGGTATGGGCTGATTTGTTTGGCTCAAGTGGTGGATTACATAAGAGTTAAGACCCTCATCTAAGAAATCATAAGTATGTGATGATGGTGTGTGCAATTTAGCAAAGCGAAAAACCGTTTCATCGAAAATAACATGCCAGCAAATAATGATTTTATTAGAAGATAAATCATAACATTTGTAACCCCTATGATTCGGTGGATACCCTAAAAAAACACAAGGTGTCGATCGAGGTTGGAGCTTGTTAATACTCGTGGACAGAAATAGGGGGTAACACAAACACCCAAAGACACGTAAATGAGAATAAGACGGTTTCCTTTGGTAAAGAACTTGGAGAGGAGACTTATACTCTAGCAATTTACTTGGAAGAATGTTGTGAAGATAAGTTGCCATTTGCAATGCATGGTGCCAAAATGATGGAGGTAGAGATGCATGTGCAAGGAGAGTGCGAATGATATTATTTAATGATCTAATTTTTCTCTCGACCTTTCCATTTTGTGATGAAAAATGTGGACAAGAAAGACGAAAAGACATGCCATTAGACTCACATAATGCCCAAAAAGGTCCATTATCATATTCCCGCCCATTATCACATTGGAAAGTCTTAATAGGTTGTTCAAATTGGGTACAAATTAATGCTTGAAAGGCTAATACTTTATCATACACATCCGATTTTTTTGCTAAAGGAAAAGTCCACAAAAAATTCGAATAATCATCCAAAATAAGCATATAATAACAATGTCCCGATGAACTCAAAATAGGAGATGACCATAGATCACTATGAAAAATATCAAAAGGCATAGAAGTATTGGAATTAGAAGATAGAAAAGGCAACTTAACATGTTTTCCAAGTACACAAGAATGACAAACACTAGCATTAGAATTATGAATACATTCAATGCTTTTATTACGACTAAGAGTCTTTAAAATAGGAGAACCCGGATGACCCAAACGATCATGCCAAAAAGGAGAAGCTAAAGCAGTAAAGGTTGATGGAGTAGAACTTGAGAAAGTACTAGTGAGTGGATAAAGGTTAATTTAAAATAAGGTGAGAGATTACCGTTAGAGGATGTCATGTGTGAGGTTGCACCGGTGTCCATATACCACGACGGATCGGGTTGGCTCAATGTCATAATGTGCACAGCTGATTCAACATTGGTCGGGACATAGGACATGGGCTGCTGGGACACTGCATAGGACTGCTGAGGACGTGGGCCTAAAAGCCCAGACTGCTGCTGTTGTCGCAATGGGCCTTGAGTGCGAGGAGCCCACCCCTGATTTGGAAATGGACATGGCGGGCCTGCCCAAGGAGCCCAACCCCAAGCACACTGCTGCTGCCACGAAGGAGGACCACTCCACCCCTGTTGCTGCTGTCCCTGGTTACCCCGACCACCGCCGGAGTTTTGACCGCCGCCGGACTGCTATCCATCGTTGCCGGAGCCACGACCACCACTCCCAGACTGCTTGCGGGTACCATTTTTTTCTGATTTTTATTCTTGTTGCGTGAAGACCCGGTTTCACCCCCCGAATCAGAGTCACGCAAGGACCCAGCCACCATAGCCGTAGCCGCTGCCGCCTTCTTCGTCAAACCTGCTTCTTCGAGCGTTAACATGGAACGAGCTTGATAAAACTGAGGAAGGGGATTACTTTGCCGAATCAAAGTAGCCACGCCTTTGTATGGCTCAGTAAGACCGGAAACCAATTGAAGAACAAGGCGATTATTATCCACCGGGGCCCCGACATTCTTCAATTGATCGGAGAGGCTCTTAAGCCGTTGACAATACGCCGAAGCGTTAGGAAAATCCTCCATATGAGTGTTACAAAACTCATGTTCAAGAGCCACAGCACGGGAATTCTGATTGTCTTGAAAGATGTCACGCAAGCGATCCCAAGCCTCCATCGCCGTGGAATCAGGTTCAATAATTGTGTTTAACAGATCCCTTGAAATTGTGGAATAAATCCACCCAAGAACTGTTGCGTCCAATGTTAACCAACGCTTCTGTTCCTCATCGGTGGAAGGGGTAGTAACCTTCTTTTTCGGAGCAATAATATGGTCAAGAACCTTGTGAGATCAAGCGTGGACCTTGAATAGTTCCGCCCAAGTAGAGTATGCAACATTATCCATCTCAAGAGTGATAGGAATGTTGCTCTTGATATTAGATACAGTGAAAGCTGGGTGAAAGGAAGCCTTGTTGTCCGACATTATACTGTGATTTTAGAGAAGAAAAGAAAAGGTAGAAGGAAGAAAAGAACAGAGAAGGAATGGCGGAACAGAGAAGAACAAGAAGATAGGGCGCAGCGGAAATTTCACCCTAAGGCTCTGATACCATTAAGGAATTCTAATCCGCCCGTATTCCTTTGCATTACTGTCAAAATATATAATGTACAAGGGTTAAAGGTAAGCCACCAATTAATGCTATAAACTAGGGATTAGCTATATACGAAATATACTAGGCACTAATCTAGGAAACAATATATTTACATGGTCAAAGATATATAAGATAATTATATATCTTAACAGTTTGTTGTTGATGTTGGTTTGTCGTTGATGGAGACGAGGTGGGTTGACGCCGGAAGGGGAGGGAGGTGGTCGGCTGGGGAACAGATTTGGTCGCCGGCGGTGTGTGGAGAAGGCTGGTTGGTAAAAGGCTCATTTTGAGCTGAAGATGGGTCAAAGTTGGAATTGTTTTGGAATTTCGAAAAGGCATAATTGTTTTGGGTAGAAAATCCAAAAGTGGGATCATTAATTTTCATTTTTCCTTTTTTTTTAAAAAACTTGAAAATTGCGTTTTTCCTTTTTTAAAAAAAAAATCTTGGAACTTATTTCTTTACTAGATTAGGCTCGTGCATTGCACAATTTAAATAATTTTGTTATTATGCATATGAAATAATTTTGTTATCATGCATATGAAATAAGTTTGTTATTATGGAGTAACATTTTTTTATTATTCAAAATTGTATAGTATAGATTAAAATAATAATTGTTTTGAAAAAGGATTAAAATAATAATTAATGACATCATTAATAGAAATGGAGGAAAACTTTTTAATGAGAAAATGACATGTAGGATAATTCAAGAGATGATGATGTCAGCAATGTTTTATTTTAATAATAGTTAATAGATTTTGACCACTTTTCTATTTGTATGATTTGTTAAGATTGAAGTCTTTTAAAATTTATTTTTCTTAATCTACACAGAAATATGAATAGCCTAATGGATCCGGCTGGCGCAATCGTAAACGTACTTACGTACGTAATTACAATTATTAATTAAAAAATTAATAAATATTACAAAAAATAGATGTACTTGGTGACTTAGTGATGTCTTGATCTAAAAATACACCTACATCATGCGATTTTTATTTCCTTAAAATTTATGAAAGTCAACTAGCTGTATTTCTCTTTTAATTTTTTTTTTTAAATTTTTTTATTTTATCATTATTGTTGCCATCTTGCAATTATGCAGATATGCCAATCAGCAAAAACATCAATAACTACATTTACGTACATATCCAATCTATTTTAAATTGAAAAAAATACACTTTAACAATTCCAACTATGGGCGATTTACCTACAATAATCCCAACTAACGTTTATTTTCTAATAATCCTAACTATTAGGTCAGTTTTCCCCCAGCAGTCCCAAAAAACCGG